TCATCCCTGGCAAGAATAGGAAAGGGATATCAAGTTGTTGTGGACAACGCCCGTGGACCAAATCACTTTTAAGTTAGGGTAATTAAAGGTCAATAGTGGGAATTTTTGTATTGAGTTTTCAAATTGCTTCTTGTGGATATTACAACCGTTAAGGGAGTGCATCATTCTACATGTTTACGCAAGTCGCCTGCCAGTTCAGAGTACTACAGAAGCTAGCATTATTAGTTGAAATGATTCAAACAGGGATAAACATTTATGTAACTTCCGAGCAGCGGTTGACTACGTATATTTAGTCAAGAACTGTTCTTAATAACAATTTTGAGGCACTTGTACTTCATTTGAGCATTTCCATTGTATGCTACGTTGCACTTCTACTCCACTACAATTCAGTGGTACTTCGCAGTTATAAATAAATGATCAAAACACTTCAAAAACACTTTAGATAGACCTGGAATAAATTCACAATTAGTTGAAAGAAGTTCCACCTTTGATAAACACATTAATGCATACAATTATAACCAAAACATATATTATAAGATTCTGAAATGGGACTGTCAGCATAATGAGTCCTTTACTTTTGGTACTTTAAGTATATTTAGATGCTAATACTTTAGTACTTTTACTTGAGTAACATTATGAATACAGGACGTTTACTTGTAACAGAGTATTCATACACTTTGGTATTTCTACTTTTACTTACATGCAATATTTGAGTACTGCTTCCGAGTGTATTTATAAGCTAAACCGTCGTTATTCAAAGTGTCTGTTTGTGGACGTTAGCTTCAGTTTACCCCCCATGAACTGCCAAAAAACAGGCTGTTTATCGTCAGAATACTCAACCTGTATCCCCCAAACGTAATTTACTTCATAAACTACCAACCCCATCCTGTTAATCACGGGTTAGCAGCCCACAAATCAATACATTGACTACTATTAACATTAGCCGGCTAACGTTAGCTAGCAAGTTCGATAGCCAGAGTACAACTGCCTGATCCGATTAGCGCTAGCTCGGCTGACGATCACTGAGCACTTTCCTCTCCGTGTGAATCAATGGAAAACTTACCTCTAATATCTTGTAGGCAGCAAAGCAGGATAATTATATTTAAAAATATCATATCGAAATCCCCCGGTAAACCAGCTAAGCGTCCCAGCGAAACCAGCGGATTTATCTTGTTTCGCTTCTTTCACTTAAAGGTGTAGTCGCCCTTCCTAGTTAGCTAGCTCCCATCACAACACAGCTCTGTCTACCGCAGCCCGACGTCAGACAGAAGGACAGACAAACCCTCCTTTCCGGTGTGTTTTGTTATGCCCATGGCTTTTTTTTAAACCCGGACACACCCATTCATCTATGGGCATAGGTTAAGGGACTCTAAATATGCTACAAATCAATAAAAAAAAAACACCATTCAGTTTAGCCCAAAACAACAACAAAATATCGGTGTTAATGGCAAAGATAGCAGCCTGAACACATGCACAAAACTAGTGTTTAGAGGCTGAAAGTTGTTTACTTCCGCAATTCATGACTTCCTGAACCAATTGTTTTTGGGTTGGGGTTTTTATAGTGTCGAATTTATGGAGATCTTCAATTAGGAAAAGGGTGTATGGTAGACAAAATCATAAATAAAAGAAAATAGACAAAAACATGATAATACACATTTTTGAGTATGCATACAATGTTATACATATACTGTATATTAAAATATAAAAGCTATATATCTAAAAGGCAAACACTGATATGCAAAGGTGGAAGAGGTACTCAGATATTGTCCTTAAGTAAAAGTAGATGTACCAGAGTGTAGCAATACTCTGACAGGTAAAAGACTTGCAAACAAAAAGTTACTCAAGTAAAAGTAAAGAATTAGCGTCGAAATATACTCTTAGTACCTAAAGTAAAAGTAGTCATTATGCTGATTGGCCAATTTGAGAATAATATATATATTTTATATTCTTCATTGATTATAATTATTAATGCATTTAAGTGTTATCAAAGCTGATAAAGAAGCTGCAGATTTAAAATTCCTTTGTATGCTGAGTGGTAGATTGTGAGAAGTACTACAGGTGAAATAGTCTTATTTAAGTGTTGTTTATTTCACATCATGATTCCAAATCTGTAAAGTAACTAAATGTATTAAATGTAGTAGGGTAAAGTACACGATTTACATCCTAATTTTAGTAAGCTAGAACTACAAAGTAGCAACAATGGCAATATTCAAGTAAAGTAAAAATATTCCTCGAGAAGTACAGTACTTGGCTGTTGAATTTGGCATTGTCTGGACCCTCAACCTAATTTACATATCGAGTTGATAGAATCAGGGCAAAGGTTTAGTGTTCCCAAAGGGGGGACTAATAAACACAGCTTATCCTTGGTTTCATCTGATTTTTGATTTTTGTTTCAATAGCTATAACTGGATGTTGCATCTCCTTTCCATAATTTTTAGTGACACAACACACTAAATGATACAGTATACATATTGTGCTTTGTATGGCGTGTTGTATTCATTAGTATGGACTATTGTCTGTTAATAAACTTGCCCCCAAGGGGCCTTGAAGTTTTATAAATGTTGACTCATAAAAATACATTCGGACTAGCTGCAGGTATCGATTGCGTGTTTTCAAAAGCTCCCGTCTTTTATGTAAGCTATACAACTTCTTAGGTTTATGTTACAATTATAGCTATTGCAACATTTGACTTATGACTTATAAGATTAGTTTTTGTGATTTTGCCTAAATATTTTATAAATATGGGCAATTAAAAGGAAACTTTTTCCACTGATAAAATCATTTCTGTAAATGGTATGATACTTTAACATAGACAACATACATACAATAAACTAGGAATAAGGTTATAATATATATATAGAATATATACAGTCTATGGATTGAACCCACCACCTTCTGAATCAAAGAAAACAGCTCTTCTTCTCAGCCAAGCCATATTGTTGAGAAAAGATGAAGTCATAGCCTGAGTGTCCCAATCGAGCTAACCGTTTTGTTGTTAGAATTTAATTTAACTTAACTAGTTAACTAGGAATAAAAGTATATACATACCGATACATACCCATTCTAATGAGATGTTCAGGAAACCCGGCTCCAGATGTGCTAATAGCCTTTGACAGTCACTCGCTGTGAAGAGTCTAAACAAATGTGCTTAACAATATCTTGTCGTCCCCTTATAACCCTAATAAATGTAGAAGACAATCCTGTACAATTTGACTGGAATATGTACTGGTGTCTTTGGCTGAATGGGTAAACGGATGCCTAACGACCATGGGTTGGTGGTTTGATTCCTAGCATGGCAAAATGAAGTGTTGTGGGAGGCAAGATGGCATGTTGAAATGACAGGTTATTATTTTTATTTTTTTTAAGTTTCTGGCCATAAAACATAATTGAAAGCTCCTTTGTATATTCACAAAAACTAAGCAAATGTAATTAAAAAATAAAATATTTGATGCAAAAGCCTTGATACCTTAAACAGATGTTATTAATGTAGTAAAACCATAGACTGTATATGAGTAAAACCACCGGGGGAAGTGTTAGGAGATGTGTGGTGATGAGATTTTGGTAGAATTTGACTTTATGACAGGGACGTTATTTAATATTGCGTTGCAGTCTGCTTAATAGTTAAAGAAACAAAACAATTGAAATGGATCTACACAGACTTGAGTGCTACAATATTTATTGGAACATTAGAAAAAAGAGGATTCGTGATGGTGGATGTATTTACAGTGTTAGAAATAAAAATGACAAATTTAATATAGTTTTTTTTAACCTTTTCCTATTGGTCGGATCCAGTCAGCTGACAGATCATGTGACCCAGCTGATGTTTTGACAGGAAGACATTTCCAAACTTTTCCTGTTTGCTGTAATTTAAATCTCTGTTTTTTTACATTATATATTTATTTATTTTATTTTTAAGTTTACTAACATGTCCAAATTGCACTTCCTGACACTAAACCAGTATTCTTTTTTATGACATTTCTTTGTGCATGCTATTTGTCAGAATATTTATAAGATGTACTTTTAAAAAGTGGTGTGGACAAAATTGGTCATTTCAAAAAGTGGTGGGGACATGTCCCCAGCGCCCCCAGCGCAAATGACACCTATGGATGCATTAATCATACCTTACCCTAACAATTAAATGCATAACACATATTTTTCCTTGGCAGCATATCCTCTGCACTGTCACTGCCTACGCCTACGGTATACCTATTGTCAACTCCCAACCAACAGCTATACCAATCAAATACTTTGGGCTATGGGTTATCATGGTTAGGGGACACTAGATGTTAATGCAGTCTGACTCTGATAGTACATCTGCCTGAAAAGCTCTGTGGCTGTGACGACCTATTCTGTTCGGTCGGTTAACTGCTGCCATCTAGCGAACACTTACTGCATATATCTGTCAAATACTGCAGATCTGTCAAATACTATGTATTGCCGACACAAGGATGGCTTTTCCTGCCACAAATAGTGTTTATATCATTTATATAATTTCATAGTACAAGTATTTTTAGAGCATGGTGGTTGAATGTTTAGTAAGATATACAAAGCTTTCACAACCTAACCTTAATAACGGTTGGGTTTTTTGCACCCAAAGAAATAAAAACACATTTGTTTTAATGTGTGTTCGAACGGTTCGAACCACGATGTGTCTCACATACTGCAATGACTGCGGAAGATGAATAAAAATAAGAGTTCTACATCCATGCTGCCACATATTTTCCAAGTCTCGTTTGTCCTGCCAGTAGTACTGTGATCTGACAACGCGAGATTTGTATGGTCTAACAAACGCGCGAGCTCCTCGTACGCAAGATGAGAACGGTCACAGCGTTTCTGTTCAGGAGTCCTCGTAAAAGTGGTACTTTTGAACGGTTTACAGATAAAGCCAGCCATACACCATACAAACAAAAAAGACAAGTACAAAGTACAAATATTTTATATTCTATATTTTGCCACCTTACGGTGGTGGTCGTACAAATACAACTTATTATTTTTTAATGACTCTAATTATTGATACTCTACTTTGCTTATGACAACAGCCAAAGAGTCAATTAAACATGAAAAACAAAACTTTATAAATAGAAATAACACATAAAAACAAAACAATAAATGTTTTTATACAATTAATTGTGTATTATTTTTAACGATGATAATAGCCTATGTATAATACAAATTCAATATTCCTATTCTTCAATGCGCTTCAAGACAAGTGTCATTTGGGGTTTTAAGGCATTTCAAAAAAAGGGGGGAATGTTATAAAGTCAGTATACATTAATATCTGGGATGGCTCACACCTGTTTTACGCGAGGGACAAACTGAAGAATACGGGCCCACTCAAACGCATCACCCCCTTTGCTCGGCCTGAAAGCAATTCACTCTGATGACGTCACTCGCAGAGTTGTCATGGCGTCTTTGGGACTGAAGCTGCTGCTGCAATTTAGCTAAAATCGGTCGACAGTCTGTAAATCGAAATGGAGAAAAATGCAAGCCTGCATCGAGACACTGACGGGAGCACGCTGTGTGCCACGATTGCAGGAGAGATGGGCGATGTTACGGCTGTCGGTGGAGTAAAAGGAACAGCTGATCAATGCAAGAATAGTGAGGCTGCTCTCAGTAGTTTGGTCAACGTTAGTTGTAATAACAGCATCACAAATGTGAGTGCTCCCGGCGCAGTTAATGTCATCTCTAGTGCTGGGAAGTCGGACGTGCTAGAAGTGATCCAAGTCCTCCCTGTGCAGGAGGATAAGAAGAAGAAGAGGAGCGAGTCGGGGTCCGGGGATCAGATCAGTAACGGGATGGGGCATGACTCGGTGCTGGCTGCAAGAGATAAAGAGGGTGGTGCCTCAAAGTTAGTAAACAACACCTCTGACGGCCCGTCCTCACCTCCCGCTAAGGAGGGCGCAGATGTGCATGCTGAAGTGTTGACTCGTGCAGAAAGTGAACCGATAAAACTTGCCAAACCGACTCATCTTTGCACGGACAACGCAATCACGGCGCACGTCAGATCGGGGCTGCCCGGTGATCACACCTTATCGGAGGGATTGCCGAGTGGGAGTGACCCCGATCCCAGCCTCGGTGGAGAGTCCCGAAGCATTGATTCCCTGGAGTCTTTCTCTAACCTCAACTCCTGCCCCAGCTCCGATCTGAACAGCGAGGGGCTGGAGGACCGAGGACTGGCCCTGGCGCTGCAGGGCGAGTACGAGGCCGATGGGACAAAGACAGCCTGTGCGAAGGAACGGGCCGCCGCCGGACAGTCTCTATACCACATCAAGTGGATCAAGTGGAGGGAGGAGAACACGCCGATCATCACCCAGAACGAGAACGGCCCTTGTCCATTACTGGCAATCATGAATGTTCTTCTGCTTGCATGGAAGGTAAAGAAGATGAGCATAGAGACTAGGACTCTCTCTTAATTCAAATTGATATATTTTTAAAGCTCTGTCAGCAGCTGTTTTATATAATCATAACTATAGTACATTTAGACTCATTTAACACTTCACCTAACACTAAGTCCTGGTGCCTCCTCTACCCCTCAGCACTTTCTGTTGGGAAGATTATTTCATTTAGTATTGTATATCAATGATATGAGGTTACAAACTGTAACACATGGGTCAAACATACTAAATTGTTTTGTATTGTTTTTTAGTTCACTTGTGTTTCAGTGCTTTGCTTGATGCATGGGTTCAGAATTAATGAACAATGATACAACTGCAACAGTTAAGTGACTAATGATTAGTCAATCAACTATTGTCAGCTATTTTCAACATCTATAAATTGTTATAACTATGCATACAAAGAGGGATGCTTTTCTTTGTTTTATATCCAATACAACTGAACATATTTAGAATCAAAACAAAACAAGACACTTAAAAACATCACATTGTAGTTTGACAATATTGGATATAGATTGTTCACTATTTTCTGACATTTTACAGACCAAACAATAATCGATTCATCTGTAATTGATAGAATACCTGGTTAAACTGCCCTAAACAGTGGGTTTCCATGTCTCTCTGTTGCAGGTTAAGATGCCACCTATGATGGAAATTATTACTGTTGAGCAACTGATGGAGTATCTTGGTGAGTGTCTATTAAAACGTATTAAACATGAGCAGGTCGACGCCACATCACTGATGAAAGGGCAACCTCAGTGAATATGGCTCTCTTCTGCTTTTTTCCTCTGGCTTCACATTGACAATAACAAACTGTGTGTAATATAACCTGTTTTGTAATTTGCAGAAGATAACATTTAGAAAGTAGTTCTCTCCAATACTAACATGTTGATCTGCTTTTACGTAGCATTGCCCATGAGTGCACATACCAGCCAATAAAGCTGCTGGCAGTGAGTTCGAACAGACTAGTAAACATTCTTAGGTTTCACGTCCTCTCAAATTCTGGCGGATGCATACTTTAGGTCAGAGAGATATATATATATATATATATATTGATATTCCAGTCAACAGAGGAAGAGAGCAGAACAGGGGAATCCCCTCGATTAAATCTTCTGCTGTTGCAAAGGAAACAGGAGCTATCTCTTCTCTCTGGCTGTCTCCTGCCCTTCATAACTTTAGAATATCAAAGTCGAGAGAGTCTTATTACTGCAGGGGTTCTCTAGAGGTAGAGCTGGGCTTCACTAGCTTCTCCTCTACAGTATCCACTGCCATGAGTAGACTAAAGTAATCCACATCCCAGAACTGTATGTGAGCTATTTTATAGTAGATTTTCCCCTTACTTGGACTCTGTATTGGCATGAATAAGGATACAGGGTTTCAGTTCAATAGATTGCAATTCTGTAAGAAAGACGATACATTGTTTTTTACAAATATAATTGTAAGAAAACTGTTATAGTTTAAAGAAGACATCGCCATATGCATACAATCTGGGTAAACATTTTTACATTTTTATGCAATCAGAACAGTTGGAGCTACATGCTGTCCCTTTAGCATCATTTTACTACTCATTGTGCAATATGAGCCACAGTTTGACCCTGGTCTTTGCATGTAAACTATTATTTATAAATCTAAACCATGCTTTTGAGAATCGATACAATAGTCCAAAACATAATAAAGTGACACTTAAGTGTACCCCTGATATGGATTTTTGAACTTGTTCGTGTCCAAACAGTGCTCTCATCTCTATTCAATTGCAGTTAAGTAATGAAGGAATTCAGCAGTGCACTAAAAAAGCACTATGTGTAATCTCCAAAAGTGCTTATTTGGGTGGACACCTTGTGCTTGCATTCAATAACAGCACACAACATGAATATCTTATCACGTCCAGGGGCTGCTAGATACTTCTAACCTTAGCAGCAATTGTCAAAACACACAGACACAAGGAGTGAGGGTAGGTGAAGTGTAGTTTAAAGCGTGTGGTGGTCCTCGTCAACAGTATGCAACGTAGCATGGCCAGTGATCCAGACGCATTGGGGCAGACAAACACAGATATTAGTGGAGAATCAGAGTTCAGTGAGTCCACAGTTCAAGTGAATACAGAGCAGCGAGGGGCTTTCCCTGCCGTCCACATGCTGGAGTAAATCCACTCCGCTAGCTGGCCCCCTGCTGGAAAAAATGATTGAATTTCAAAAAAATACAAACTGGTATTTTTGCCTTTGCCTCTTTACGATCAAAATACAGTATTAGCCCACTATTACCAACTTATAACTGAGTTGTAATGTAAAGTGATACTGTTTTTTAAAACTGCAATTATTCTGTTGTTCATTCCAAAAGCCTTGATAGTTCACACGTTTGACATAGTCTATGAACCTGGTTGGTGTATCCGTTTGCATTCACATGAAGAAATCATCGTGCGATTCTAGGACACTCATTACAATTATTAAGCACAAATTCCAATACAAATACAGGCTGTTTTTCCCACTTAATCCACGCCATTCATTCTATTTGCTTGTGCAAAACAACAAAAGTGTTTTTTCTCCATGTGTAGCTGTTTTTACTCAGTATAGCTGTTGATGACAAGAGGTCCATGGCATTCCTCTGAGTAATACTCAGATGAAGTATGTGTTGACAGTGCAGCGTGGCTCTCTTGCCAGTTCCCAATAAATACACGAGTCTCTGTGAAGCGTTTTGTAAAACACTTATGCATGAGTTTAAAAAGTAAGGACTGCATTTAAGCTTTTGCAGCAATAACAAAAATATAATTGCATGGCTTCCTTAGCCATTATATCAATGTGATTTACAGAAAAGGTTTCTAATAACACAAGGAACAAAAAAAAAATGTACAAGCAATAAGTCTGAAATATTTCAAAAGAAAATGTAATCACTTTTTTTTTTACGGATATGATGTTGCAGGGAATGATCATTTTTAAATCATTATCCTAGTTTCTATTAAAAATACTTTAAAATAATCATGATTTTTTTTTGTGACCAACTTTTTATTGTTCTTTTTTATTGCCCTCACAGAGGGACTTATATACACAGATACAAATTATATAGACAATAATACAAAAAGAAAAAAGAAAGACAAAGAAAAAATATAGGGAATCCCTTTCCCATGCCACCCCGTAGAAAATCCTACCTGATGTTTGTTAGCAATTGTCTGAGTTCATATTATATATATTATTTATATTATAGCATAACAATTTATCCACATCAAATACATTCATAAATTTTTTTTCATAACATTTCACAATTTCTGGATTTTGAGAACATTCTGATTCATGTTCTGCCTTAATAAGCTCAAACTGTTTAAGAGAGAGGCAAACTACANTTATATACACAGATACAAATTATATAGACAATAATACAAAAAGAAAAAAGAAAGACAAAGAAAAAATATAGGGAATCCCTTTCCAATGCCACCCCGTAGAAAATCCTACCTGATGTTTGTTAGCAATTGTCTGAGTTCAATTTCTGGATTTTGAGAACATTCTGATTCATGTTCTGCCTTAATAAGCTCAAACTGTTTAAGAGAGAGGCAAACTACAACAAAATAAACATGTGGCTTGAGTTGTCCTGCTCAGCTGTGTAATGGTCTGCCCTCAAAAGAACCACATACGCCTGATGTAGAGTAAAGTCTAGATTTGGTGTTCTGTGTTCATATGAAACATTTTGTTTGTAGCGCTGAGAGCTACAGAGATCTCAGGTGACGCCACAGAGGACAGAGACTCTACTGATGCTGCATGTTCGGTACAGCCTCCACTTGGTAGAACAGCTGGCCAGTGCTAAACGCTCCCAATGGCTTTTCGAAACATCTGAAACCATCTGTCTTTTTCTATACAAATGCTTGATATAAAAAGCTATCGCGATAATCAGTCATGGTTGTTTCGCTCTGTCATCATCTCTTTCCCTCTGTCCCTCTGCAGGAGACTACATTCTGGAAACCAAGCCTAAAGAGATATCAGAGGCTCAGCGGCTAAACTATGAGCAGGTAAGGCCTGCTTAATCACTGATGAATTATTATTAAACAGACATGTGTTTCTGCTTATGTGTGTGCATCAGTAATCTGCTGACTGTTCGTGGTACCTAAGGAGAACAGGGCTTTGGGCACGAACACACTCTCTCTTCCTCTGTGCTGAAGCCAGTGTTTGTGAGTTCAAGAGCTCTCACTTCTCATCGACACACTCAAAATATACCTCCGCTTGATGTATTTTCACCACAGTACACAAAGTGAGGTGCACACTTTGCTCTGATGTGCATGCTTACACTAAAGCCGGTTTTGTACATTTGCATTAAGGTATCATTTGCCTCAGCGGTGTTTCATAATATGGAAATAAGCATCGAGGTGATGACAAGCCAGATGAAACTGAAGCTTAGCTTTTTTCCATTACTCTATACGTTACATAAGATAATATGTCTCAGAAGGGGGTCAGGAGTGTCAGATTATAAATGCTTAGAGAGGCATGGCTGAGTTCATCCCGTGTGTGTGTGTGTGTGTGTGTGTGTGTGTGTGTGTGTGTGTGTGTGTGTGTGTGTGTGTGTGTGTGTGTGTGTGTGTGTGTGTGTGTGTGTGTGTGTGTGTGAAAAACTCACCATGAGAGGCACTTGGAGATGGAGCTCCAGCTACCCAGCTTCCTCCCGTCTCCACTGCCTGCCGAGTGCAGTGTGGGAGGCCCGGCCTCTCCTCCTCTTGCGTGGCAGAGCACCAGCACATCTGTGAATAATTTGAAGCCACACTTGCCCCTCATTCAAAGAGGAGCAAAAATAATGTGCAGTCTCCTCATAGAAGCTCCCTGCAACGCTCTTTCTAAATTTAAGTTGAGCAGAAATACAACCTCTTCAATAAATCAGTGGTGGCCTCAGCATGCACAGTTAAAGTAAGGGAGTGGTATGAGTTTGTGTTGCATAGTTATTATGGCAGTCTAATTCTAGTTACTGGCCTGAGAGCTCTTTACCGAGGCTGTCCTCATGTCCGTGTGCTTCATGTGTGCACCACCAAAGTGGGAAGCTCTTTGAGATCTAAGAGAGAAAGTCTGAAATGTGTTTATGTGCATGTTAAACAAAAGGTGTCCTCCTCTTTATATCTTGGAGAGCTTTCATTGCTTATTGGATTGTTAGAAAATACAACTCAAGCTACCCTGTCTTTGAAAAGAGCAGTAGGAGTTCATAACAGGCGTAGTTCTATTTATAAATTCCGCTTAAAAACATCATCTGCCACAGGAGAGTATGAGGATTAAAGTAGCATTGGCACGGTGGCTCTTTTAGCTATTGTTAAATATTTACTCGAAGGAGCAGTGGAAGTGAGAGTGAAGCCTCTTTCACAAGTCAATTCATCCATATGACTGTTGAAGGCAATGGGTTATCATGTTTGAGAAGCCTTTTTTGTGTCTTTAAAAGTTCTGGCCCTTGTTCCTAAATGACCCTTTTTCTTTTGGTTCTGAGTAAAGCAGATAAAATGCAAACGTGGGAGTTAAAAAGCATAGTTGCGTATGTCCCTAACCCTAGCCGCTTTGATGATGAACGATGCACTTTTTTCCAACCAATCTGTTTAGTAAGCTCCCTGGCAATCGAATGATGGGTCCTCTGAATAGGAATATACCTCAAATTGACATTAGGTGATATGGAAACATGATGAGCAAATACTGATGGTGATGTCAGAGACAAAGCAAGAACCATAAAAGCTCATAGGTGGATGGGAGAGACTGGGCTGTCAGTTATACAGGTTGTGATGTTGGATACATATTTAATTCAAGCAGGATCTATCTAATTATATAATCAGAAAATATGCTTTGCACAGGGTTATCAGTTTGATGGGTACACGTTTACAATTTAATGCAATCCATTACAAGCTCCAGTGCACAAGCATGTATCGTTTTATGAATCCTATAATCAATTTATGATGAGAAGTGTTCTGTCCTCTTTATGTGTGAATGTGGCCTGACAAATGCTAGAAACTTTGTATTAGCTTGATGATGCATCCAACAGAAAAGTAGAGCAGTGACAGCTGCGGATATGTGCCAGGCTTCATAAAAGTATGGCCCACATTATGGGACATTACAGCCTAGTAAACCATTTTTATTATTTACAGCTCCCACTGATGGGTTGTGGTGTTATGATATCATTTACTTTTGTCCTGCAGGGATTGATATGAGGTTAATGGATATGTTGTGTTTAACATCCCCTAAAAAGCGTGGCATGTTTCTTAACGGCCAAACATCCATTATGACTAAAGAAAGGAAAGCTTTGTAGGAACAAACTCCTTTATCTTGGTACTGTAATGTCATATTCTGTCAACTACCAGTTAATACCATCTGTTTGGATTTAGTTTTTAGGTACATTTTAGGTTTTTAGGTACATTTATTGAATTCAAACCTAAGCAGAAGAGGGAAAGTAACTATGCAGAAAGGCCATCGCTAACGTTACTGTGGAACTGCATCCAACACACGCACAGATGAATGCCAGTGATGCTTTGATAATCATCGCCAAGCGCTCATCTGCTGTTAGATTCCTCTGCCCTAAAGTGAAGAGCTGTTGTCCATTACACAGCCCTGCTAATCCTGCCATCACTGCCGCTCATAAACGCCCTAATCCACACACTGAGATCATCAGATGGCCCGCTGAAGGCTTTTCACCTCAGCTCTCCGCACCAAAGCTGCAGTAGCTCACCCTCACTATAACTATTACTTTAAAAAAATCATTTTATTTTATGATTTGACAGCAATTATACTCTTCAGTGGACAAGAAACAGGTTATAAAGTATTTATTCAGAAGCCTTTGAATCTGTTTGCTTTTTGGGATTTGAGACTTCATACTAGAAAAACCTTAAAATTATTGCAATACATCATGTAAAATAAATATTCACATTTAAAATAATAAAAAAGAGCTGTTCGATGTTGTAGTGAAACAAATATTATGCTGTTCAGAATATTTTAACATTGTCACGTGTCAAATAAACAAAAGGATGTGGAGTGCTGTCAACCGTGTTTCACTGTTTTAATTTAGACCAGATAAAAACTTAACAAGTGTTTTTAAATAAACACTTTTATAACTTGACATAATATTTATTTTAAAGCTATACAAAAAACGTTCAGACTTTTCAAAACAAAAGTACAAAGAATTTATAAAAATAAAATAAAATGGCAGACAAAATGACTAAATAATAAAAAAAATGGTTAAACAGGATAACATCTTTACACTAGAAGACAGTGGTCGTTGAGCCTCACCCACCCCCATCACTCTGTGTGACTCCCCAGTAACTGCTGTGAAGTCTTTCCGCTTCCTGGGCACCATCATCGCCCAGGACCTCAAATGGGAGCAGAACATCTGCTCCCTCATCAAAAAAGCACAGCAGAGGATGTTCTTCCTGAGGCAGCTGAAGAAATTCAACCTGCCAAAGACGATGATGGTGAACTTCTACACCTCCATCATGGAGTCCATCCTCACCTCCTCCATCACCATCTGGTACGCCGCAGCCACAGCCAAGGATAAGGGCAGGCTACAGCTTGTCATCCGCTCTGCAGAGAAGGTGATCGGCTGCAATCTGCCATCCTTCCACGACCTGCATGCCTCCAGGACCCTGAGCAGGCAGGGAAGATAGTGGCCAACCCCTCCCACCCTGGACACAAACTGTTCACCCCCCTCCCCTCTGGCAGGAGGCTGCGCTCCATCGGGACCAAACCTCTCGCCACCCCCCGGCCCGGACAAATTCTCGCCATCCGGCCTCCTTTCTTNCGTGGACTTCAGCTCTGCCTTCAACATCATCATCCCGGCTCTGCTGCAAGACAAGCTCTCCCAGCTGCACGTGCCCGACTCCACCTGCAGGTGGATCACAGACTTCCTGTCTGACAGGAAGCAGCACGTGAGGCTGGGGAAACACGTCTCTGACCCCCGGACCATCAGCATCGGTTCCCCTCAAGGCTGCGCTCTCTCCCCTCTGGTCTTCTCCCTTTGCACCAAAAGCTGCACCTCCAGTCACCAGTCTGTCAAGCTCCTGAAGTTCAGACGACACCACCCTCATCGGACTCATCGCTGGTGGGGACGAGTCTGCCTACAGGTGGGAGATGGACCATCTGGCGACCTGGTGTGGAGAAAACCACCTGGAGCTCAACGCTCTCAAGACAGTGGAGATGGTTGTGGACTTTAGGAAGAACGCAGCCCCACCACCGTCATCACTCTGTGTGACTCTGCTGTGGAGTCTTTCCGCTTCCTGGGCATCATCATCGCCCAGGACCTCAAATGGGAGCAGAGGATGTTCTTCCTGAGGCAGCTGAAGAAATTCAACCTGCCAAAGACGATGGTAAACTTCTACACCTCCATCATCGAGTCCATCCTCTCCTCCATCACCATCTGGTACGCTGCAGCCACAGCCAAGGATAAGGGCAGGCTGCAGCGTGTCATCCTCTGCAGAGAAGGTGATCGGTTGCAATCTGCCATCCCTCCACAACCTGCACTCTTCCAGAACCCTGAGGCGGGAAGATAGTGGCCGACCCCTCCCACCCTGGACACAAACTGTTCACCCCCCTCCCCTCTGGCAGGACGCTGCGCTCCATCAGGACCAGAACCTCTCTCCATCAGGACCANNNNAATAAAATCATTTCTGTTTTCTGTTTTGAGAACCTCCCCTCTGGCAGGAGGCTGCGCTCCATCGGGACCAAAACCTCTCGCCACCTCAACAGTTTCTTCCCCTCCGCTACCGGCCTCTTAAACAAGGCCCGGCCCCCCCACTGACACTTTACCTCTGCCACATCATAGACTATATGCATTACATTAATCTTATTTCACATTTCATAGTTTATATTCTTAAATTCATTCATAGCATTCTATTTCCATGTAAATTACTGCTTTATTGAATTTGTATTGCTATTTAACTGTATTTTATTACGGTATAAAATATGTTTTGTTTTATATTAGATTTCTTGTTTTTTATATTTTATGTATGCACCATGACATGAAGTCAAATAACTAGTATGTGCGAACCTACCTGGCAATAAACCTGTTTCTGATTCTGATTCTGATCTAGCCATACTGTTAGGTGGTTGAATCTTCTGTTTGTTATCGAGGGTTTATTGTTGTGGTATCTTTAAACTAATTGGCTTGGCTTTTGGCTCATTTGACTTGTATTTCTGCTGTCACTAGTCATTTATTGTTGGAAGAATGAGAGGAAATCACTCGCAACACAAACACAACAGAGTTGAAGGGCTCAGCTGCAAGGCTTAACTTGATCCCAGACTGTAATGGCAGCAGAGGTTTGGAGCCAGCTGGGAAACATTGCCCTGAGCTCTGTTTGGTTCTCAGGTGTGTGGATGCACACGTGAATCATATATCTATAGATATATATGGCATATATATGGTGTTATGTGTATATAAAGTCTCTAGGGTGCATCTTTTACAGTAAGCGATTGGATGGTGGTCATATTGGAAATGGTTCTCTTCAATCGTTCAGTCAGTGAATTATAATAATTTCTCTCTACATTTGTATATTTTTGGAAGCTTTCAAAACCTTTTTCTCTAATAGTAGTGATAACAAAATATAATTTAAAAGTCAAACACTAGTTCTGATTCTTCCATCTCACAAAACACAGCTCTGATATTTTCTAATCAGTGTGAGAACCAAAAAGGGTATATTTCTCAGCTCTGTTTGGGCCACACCAGGTGAAATCCAATTAAAACGGAAAAGAACTGAGATTTGTTTTATAAAACTATTAAACACCCTGCAATTAGTGAAGCTATTGTTCTTCTCGAGGACTTTAAAAGCTGCTTTAAAAAAGAAAAACCTGAAGTAGGATATATCTGATAATTGGATTATATTTTAGGGAAGTCACAATAGCAACAACAAGCATCTGCAATTATGTCCTCCTAATTGTAAAACATGTATAAAACGCTGGTATTAAAAGGTGGTAAAAAGCTGTTGTGGAATTGGCTGAACTGATTTTGAGTTCATACTCACTGCTGAAGGCAAAACAGAAGTCAGGCAAGGTGAAGCGATACTTTCTCAGGGTCTGTGTGAAACCGACAAGCTTTTACCATTTTGACCAGACTGCTGCTTTAAGATAGGTCCGGGGGTCTGACTTTAACATGATGTTTTTGCTGAAATATACCCAGAGCAGCTCTTTTGGGTTCTGTGTTCTACTCCGTGAATGCCCCTGGCATCTCAAGGCCTTGAGGCTTAGTTTTGTGTAACGTTACTTCCCTGTGACGCTGCATACTTTATATACATCAGCTTGATTTCTGTGTACATTTCAGTGTCCACAGGCCGCCCACTGTCTCGCACACTGCATGGGGCTTTACAGACTTTGAAGGCCTTTGTTTTTTAAAAGAATTATTGTTTTCCTCCTAGTATCAGGGCTGAGTCTGTTCATTATGAAGGGGGCTGGTATCATGTGAAAAAGTGACGTCAATGCATGCCTTCTGCTACAGTGAGTCATCTCCCATCATCTGGACAAAAACACACAACGATGTCGAAGCCATATAAAGTTGTTGAAAAGGTTTTCTAAGGTCAAGCTTTCTTTTTTATCTTTATATTATGACACGTGCTTTAAATTGCTGAGCTGACCCATTCTCTCCTCTAATACATGTCATTGTACTGTTGACCCTGTATTAACCTACTATGATTAATAAAGTTAAACTGAAACTAATTATGGCCAACACAAGAGGTGTCAGTGAGATCAAAGCTGTTGGATGATCTCTGTGGTGGCTTGTTATAATGTTGAATCATTCTGTGATGCACTGTTTGAGCCTTGAGAAATATTAAACAGTAGGCATTGGTTTTTGTGGACATACAAACAAAGTAATGCAATCAGTGTTAATGCATCTTTGAAAAAGGGAATCATCTCTGTACTGAAAATATAACATATTAGGGGCAGCTGTGTGGGAAAGAGTACAAGTTGCTGAACATGTAGTCAAAGCAGCCCTTTTAGGCTTTTTCAGAATTTAAAACATACTTTGATGCTAAAGCTATTATTTACGCAAAATAAATAAAATCCCACATTTATGTTTATTCATATATTGATTTTAACATTGAGATGCATATCGTCCTTTTTCGTCTTCTCTCTGTTACGTCTTTAACCCTTTAACTACCAGACCAAGAAAAAATCTATCGAAAAAATTATTTGTTTGCATTTTTTGCAAACACAGTTTTGTTTTTATGAGCCTCTACCAACTGGTCGAGCTGGCCTTTGATGGTAAAAGTGCATTTTCAACAATCATCATATACAGTACAGTATTTGTATGCATCAAACTCAAATAAAACACAAACTGAATTGCATTTTTTTCTTTTATGGAAAATGAGCAATATATACAACCAGATACATATAAAAGATAATAAATTATAATTCTAAAAATGAAAAAAAGTAATGTTAAGTGTTTTTCCTAATAAAAAAAAGACTTGCTCATCTTACTGTATGCTGAATTGGCCTAACAAGAAACCACTGGCCCAACAGCAAATGTCTATATCCTGTGTTGGACTAACTTGCTTATCTATGTGCAACTTTGCGCTGAATGCCATGCATGAAAGGTGACCAAAAAGAGTGATTTCGTCAGCAGTGATTTTTAGCATGCCAACTTTCTCAGTGGAAGCTAGCTGAAGGGCATTCTGTTCGAACCACAGTGACATCTAGAGGTTGTTTTGTGCATAACATGTCAACCAAATGGTAGAGCTGGCTGAATCAGATGGAGTTAAAAACTTTTTAATTATTTTTTCAACAAGATATCAAGACACAAAATGTGCTCTACCAAATGGTGGCGCTGGCTGTTAAAGGGCTAAAGTAAAAAAATGCCCCAAAAAAACACAGGGTTAATGGAATGCACTATATTGTCGAGTGTTCCTGATATTTTGTCCACCCCTTGGTAATATTACCAAAGGGAAATATCAAATGTCTCTCAACAATGAGTCTGAGTGCTCACTCAGAAATATATTATCAAATGATTTCCTGGCAGCGACTTCCATTTCCTCCTGTGGTCGTGGGATGATTGACAGTAAGCAGAGCGAAAACGAATAAGTGCTGTAAATATGAAAACTCTCAACTGAGTCACAGGAAAGTGTAAAGCAGAACTACTTGATAAAACAAATTTGAGGCACAAATGTGTGGAAACTGTTTTTTTGTAGTGTACAGGAATAAATGTCAGCTAATGGCTTCTCGTAAGTTTAGAAAAATCCATCCAGCTACACTGACTGTGTGCAGACAAACAGTAATAATGAGACACACAAAGGCACATGCAACAGCTGGACAAGGCACAGCTTGTTTAATATAAAAATATAAAATACAAACGTTTTATTAAAGATATTTGTTAGTACATTGTATACAGTATTTATGCACTTTGCTGCATTGTTATCACACATTTCCTAACATAGCATCTGATCTCCTTATTTCCTAGAACATGAGTGATGCCATGGCGGTGTTGCACAAGCTGCAGACGGGTCTGGATGTGAACGTGAAGTTCACAGGGGTGCAGGTCTTCGAGTACACCCCAGAATGCATTGTGTTTGATCTGCTCGACATCCCTCTGTACCACGGCTGGCTGGTTGACCCCCAGGTGAGATGGACTTCACTGCTGCCTCTCTTTACCTCCCAGAAACAATCTTCTTTTATTGCTTGCCTTTCTATCCTCAACACGTGTCCTTAGAATTCATTTCCAAGTATTAAAATATTCTACCGGCCAGTTCTTGACGTTTTTCTCAGGTCGTTCTCACACTAGTTATTGTCTGTTTTGTACTAACCCTAATTTATGACAAACAAACCAAGAGGGGTGATAATGAAGTAATACACGCAGACAGGAAACTCTCTGAAATCTTTGCTCATCCTGATTTATCAGTGATACATGAACTTACCTGACTGAACTTCAGTGAACCTCAATGTGCCTTATTAATCTTCTGTAGAGTGGCTTATAAATAAAGATAGAAAGCAGGATGAAAACCTGACGTCATGCACCATATGGTATGAATACCATGCTGTAGAAGAGTGGGGCCACACATTTTGCTGAGTTAACTGCCAATGGTTACCAAATTATTTTTGGAAAACCATACAGGCAATCAGGGCCTGACATTTCCCACATTTAAAGATTTTAGCGTTTGAATGAATATCAGAATCAGAAACAGGTTTATTGCCAGGTAGGTTTACACATAAGAGGAATTATTAATGTCATATAAACTGTACTGAGTCAAACTTCTGTGGTATGTCCTTTATGCGTTCAGAGTTCTCTTGGAAGCAGACCGCTTCAATGATATCGTTCACACAACCCTAGATAAAGATGGTAAACATGAAGAGGGATCAAGTTTACAAAGTGATACTAGTTTCAGTATGAACCTCATTTCACTACAACGTTTCTCTCTGTTCTACATTTTGTATAATTTGATTGTGGCTTTCATTAAATCAGCTTCAAAGCTTGGTGAGTGTTCTTTCCCACAGTTTTTGCTGTTTTTGTTTGCAGATGCAGGACATTGTCAAGGCAGTGGGAAACTGCAGCTACAACCAGCTGGTAGAGAAGATAATATCCTGCAAACAGTCAGACAACAGTGAGCTGGCAGGGGAAGGTGAGTGCTCTCCTCTCTCTCCTCTCCCCCTCTGCTGTCTGACCTGCCTGACTCCTTCCTGTCACCCTCAGCTCCTCTCCCTCCCTGGGCACTTGGTGGTGGAGAAAACAAAACTAAATCATGCATTTTGGGGACATTTTAAAAGTGAAAATTAGCTTCTAAGGAAAAATACATTTTTGATTTAAAAAAATCTTCGTTCTTTTAATTATACTATCTTTGTTTCATCCATATCGAGCATCGCAAGTAGAACTTGTTACTGGAAAAAACATAAACAGCAGTGTAACTTCATTAAATGATATGTGTTTACTGTCCAGGGCAAGCCAAAAGCAAACCAGGACATACATGTGTCCTTTCACTAAATAACTTCCACAGCTCACACTTTTCTTACCAGCTGTTGGTAATGCCTCCACTGAAAATATTTGCTCATTCAACACTGAGCTTCCTGAGTGAGCTGGTCTGCTGCAACATCAACACATGACAGCTTTGAGCCGAGTGTGATACGGACCTGGTACTTTACTCCTTTCAATAATATTTCTGGATTTGTAGCTTAGAAATGTACAATTAGGGCTTATTGTAAGTGACATATATGCTGCTCATCACTACTTGAATAGAGGAATTTTCTTCTTTAACTACAAAGGTATCATTTTAATATCCATTGCTATCCCATTGTTGCCTTGAATTCTTGGGTGAAACCTTCACATTGACCAAACAATGTAAAAGAGGAGCATAGCAGTTATTCATTTAAGTAAATGGATAACATGTTTTACAACAGAAAAACTACATCAGTATCGAAAAAAGACCCCTTAACTTGTGGGGAATAACCAATTATTCTCCTTTATCTAGTGGTATGCTCACGAGCCTATCCCCTGTGTGCCTTGGCACTATAATGTTACAATGTAACACACTTCAGCTTGCAAGGACAAGTAGTAGACAGGCCCATTTATTTAATTGGATCTAGAATTTGCTGTTTTTTATTCTTCAATATGTAAATGACCAATTTGTGGGAGAAGTTTCCACTCATATAAAACTCTACTCTTAAAAAACGACTTTAGTTGTCATGCTTTAATGTACTTTAATACAAGTTTCTTTTCTACCAGCCTCTAAAAGTTATTCTCGGCTGGAGCGTTTGTTTGACTGCCTGATTTCCCGGGGATTTGCTTAATGCCGCTCTATCTTACAGATCCCTCACCATCTGCCTCTCAGCCTATATTGAGTTCACTATAGCAACCGTGACCATTTCCAGCAGCACAAAGTCTGTGTTCAAATAGCTACAACACACATTACAGCGGGGTTTCCAAATAGCGACCCATGAATGAGTAAGAATCACTGCAATGTAACGCAATTGACTCATCCACTGGTCTGTGGGCTAATAATGCAACATAAAAAAGCTATGTTACTTTGTAAGTAGATTTTTAACAGGTGAAGCTCATCCAAATGAAATCAACATTGACATTATATCACTCATTTTTAAGTGAATCGTAAATCAGTCAGTATATTCTGTGAAATATACGGATTAAAAGCAAGATAAGATAAAGTATTCAACTGACACTGATCTTAAGTCCATGTTTCTGCATTTGCTCATCAATCACAATTTCAATCTCTCCTTCTTTGTCTCCTCTTTGGTTCCTCTTCCCCTCCTCTTGCCCCAGGCATCGTGGCAGAGCAGTTTCTGAGCAGCACAGCCACTCAGCTTACGTACCACGGCTTATGTGAGCTCACATCCACCGTACAGGAGGGAGAGCTCTGTGTCTTCTTCAGGAATAACCACTTCAGCACCATGATCAAATACAAGGTGAACCCTGTAAATTATACCTTCACCTTAAGTGTAGGTATACTCAGATTGAGACTCCAGTTTGGAGCTTACTTTAGAAATTGCGGCAACTTAAAAGAGGTTGTTTTATTAACTGTCCCCCCCATTCAGTGACAAGCAGCTTGAGGTCCTTTACTTTAAACGGACATTTACTGTGTTTTCTCTGTATTACTCAAATGGGTATTCTGAAAGAATCCTCTTAAAGGTAAAGATTTCTTTCTGATAACTGTTCATGTTCATATAGATATCAGCAAAACTACCTTTAAAATCTTAAATGGAATGTCCTTTATTTTGTCCGTAAACTCAACATAATGAACTTGCTTTAATGAAATATTGTTCTGCAGGCTATTCAGTAAGAAATCATTCTGGTGCTTTCTTATATTATTTGATGAATAGTTGATTTTTATAGGGGAGTCTTTTGGTAATATTTAACTGAATTGTAATAAATGCAACTAGTAATTTACAGTAGATGAAGATAAATAACTTACTATCAAGTCTTGCCCTCTACCGTTGGAAGCACTCTATTCTCTCTGTTTGTTTTTCCATTTGCCTAAAGCTCCTTGATATTTTGCTGTACTGTTCACACAAGTCCTGCTATAACATGTTCTAAAAACTGATGAAAGCTTGGTGTTTATGTATTACACGTGTACAATATTACACCAATCACTACGACCCTTTAGGCGCCTGCCCACAGCTGGATTACTATATCGCTGCCGCTCGGACAGACCTTTCCTATTGTCTGCAGGATGGGAAGTGGAGCCTGCTTACTTAATTTTGAATAGTACTCCAGTGTAGCCAAAGTAAGCATAGCTGTGTGTATCACTCAGCAGCCCGAGTTATTTTGCAATCACTGAGCTGCACTTTTACATGTACACACAGTTACAATAATTTATGATAAACAACCACATAAAGATTGTTTGTGCTTACGCACGTTATGCTTCTTTCAGTCGAAAACCTTGAAAACATCTGGCCATATGTTAGGTCATAGGACACAGATGGAAATGAGGGTTAAAACAAATCTCCTTTTTTCTATAGGCAGTCTAATAGTGTTTTGTTTAGTTTAGTCCTTTTTGTTAAGTTTATGTTCTTGCTAGCTGATTTTTCCTGCAAAGGGTTAAGGTATGCGCAATAGCTTCAAATGTGTGATGCAATGCTGCATTGTTATGTTTAAATTAACCTTTGGGGTAGCAGATTCACAATAAAGTAAAGTGCCGTTCATCTGCAGGTATGTTTGCAATATTCTATGACAAATTTCTCATAATCTATTAGCATTTTAGAGATGATTTCATTGATAATGTCCAGCCATAGTCTGCGCTGTCTTTTAAATAAGACTTCAATAGGGAGAAACATATTAGTGTATATTAGTGTATTAGACCCTTGTGCATCATGCTAGCTAGATCATCACAGAAAATGTCCTGTCAATGTCCCTGGAACAGGAGTAACCATGCAGTCTTGCATGTCTGCGTGCGCTGTGATACTGATTGGATGTTTGTATGTAATGCACGCCTGCTTGTTTCCCAGGGCCAGCTGTACCTCCTAGTCACAGACCAAGGCTTCCTGACGGAGGAGAAGGTCGTCTGGGAGAGTCTGCACAACGTTGACGGAGACGGAAACTTCTGTGACTCTGAGTTCCGGTTGCGGCCTCCGTCGAACCCAGAGACTGTGTACCGAGGCCAGCAGGATCAGATAGACCAGGTCTGAGCACTGATGCAGGCAAGACTAGACGAACCAGAAATGATCCACTCCAAAACCAGGATTGATGTATAATCACAACGTGGTTTTTTACACCATGAGACAGAATACAAGACCAGTAAGGTCACTGTACTTCTCTACAAACATTTATAAAAAACACTGGAGGAAAGGAGAGCCAGAAATAAAGAAACACATAACAGAGATTTTGGGAAGCCATGTACAAAAAGATCTACTGTGCACCATCCCAGGCTGAAACTAAAACAGGGAGGTTCCTTAATAATAGATGGCTCCCGCACGCGCCTACCTCTGTTCTCATCCATGATTTGCTGTAGCACATAGTCACCAAATTGGACCATAATGCATTGGGTTTATGTCTCCCGGCTGCTTTCACAGCTGTCTGCTCATTGGTCGGCCACAGCGCTCAAAACGCTGATAAATTGTCTGCCTTCGCTCCCACACACACAGACCTCCACGAGCATGGGGGCTATTACTTTTTATTTTCGTTGCTATTTTCAGGCCCACTCCTTTTCTCCGAGATGGGGTTGGTGAAAAGAAATCCATGCAGGCAATGTTCTGCACTCATAATCAATTCCATTAGGTTGCAGAAAAGGTGTAATGATCTCAGGGGGAAATTGGGTCTTTGTCAGGGACAGAGTACATGAAATAATATAAGATACTGAGTTTAATACCATGGATAGAAGCAGGATAAAGGACATTTTAAACCAATTAATACAAAGAGTAGAATAAAGATGGTACAGCAAATACAAATTAATGGACTAACACTAATGACTCTATTATTAGGAAAGCAATAGTGTCGTGGATTGGTCTGTTGGTATTGTAGGCTGAGGAATTACAGCTGCTGCATAATCACAGCACAGTTTAGGCATCACATTGACACTTTTGCTCATAAATTATCAAGTCTTACTCTCTGTGTGCTTGTGTGTGTGTGTATGTGTGTGTGTGTCAGGACTATCTGATGGCGCTGTCGCTGCAGCAGGAGCAGCAGTGCCAGGATGTGCAGTGGGACCAGCTGCCCGAGGGCATCAGTGACCTCGAGCTGGCAAAAAAGCTCCAGGAAGAGGAGGACCGGCGCGCCTCCCAGTACTACCAGGAGCAGGAGCAGGCGGCGGCAGAGGCACAGGTGGGGGGGAGGGGAGGAGGTCTCTAATGTAGCTCAGAGGGCTTTTGGAAACAGATGGATGTCTAAATCAGAGAGTTTGAGCTATAAAAGAGGAATTTCATTTCAAAAGAGATAATGGTATTATTTTTTCTTGTAACGCAGCCTCCTTTCACTGTGAGGTCCAGACACAGGCGTCGCCCCTCAGACTGCCTTTATATCAGTTATTACACCTCCTTACAGATATGTAAGATATACTATAATGATTCAATTATTTATGTAAACGACAATGTGGCACTCCTTTAAGTACCTCTTGATTTTTGGTAACAACAATAATAAATTATATAACACTTTTTTCTAACAAATATGCATATTTCTTAGCTAAATCCCTTACTTCCCCTTTCCTTCACTTAATTCCTACTTTTCTTCGTACTTATTTTTCACATAGATGCCTGTCATTGACATATACAAAATTAAATTAAAATAAATATATATATTTTAACACCTTAAAAGGTAATACTATATCTTAAAATGTATGCTATTTAAACATAAAGTTGGGAAATGTTTCCCAACTTCATGTGAACTTAAAGAAAGATTGATAGTTTTTCTAGATTTCTGCATAAACATATCTCAAAGTATTCTTTTTTTTTCAAAGCCTGTACAATTCTTCATATTTTCTAACCAAGACCTTAATATTTGCCTTATCACTTAATTCCAGTTCAGAACACTATAAGTAGCTTTGCATGAAACATGCTCATACCTATGAATTTATACCCTTCTGCCCTTCAATCCTGTTTTCGCAGCAGGACCAGCCAGATCCGGCCGAGGGAGAGGAGGTGGACAGAGGAGGAGCAGGAGGAGGAGCAGCAGGAGGAGCAGGAGGAGCAGGAGGAGCAGGAGCAGGAGCAGGAGCAGGAGCAGGAGGAGGACCTGGAGGAGGAGCAGCAGCCGGCACTGGGACGGCGGCAGCAGCAGCAGGAGCCACACCCAGCCCGGGAAAACAGACCTCTAATGTGGAGCGCAAAGCCAAGAAAGAATCCAAGGATAAAGACAAATGTATGATTTTGTAACATACAGTCTGTCTGTATGAGTGTGAGTTTAGTGCATTTGCTTTTATGGGAGAAAGGGGACTGCATTTGTCTCTCCATGTACTGGACACTTGGACAAACAAGGGAAGGAGACGTTATGAGGAGAGATGCGTAGAGACTAACAGAGGATTTGCTGTTCCCACACCACTGGTGCCTGCTATCCTCTATCCTCAGTGGAACCTGGACACCAGAGGAAGGGACACTACAACTACCCCTTACCTTTCATACAGTCGGCCAAACTTTGTTACAAGTAGCACAGTGCACTATATTTGTGATGTGGGGTCAAGTTTATTCGGGGTGGTATATTTTATAGCAAAAGACATAATCTGAAGAGACAAAATGTCACCTTCTCTCCATTTTACTTTTCCCAAAAAGTTCAATCATTTCACTCATGTGTCATTGCTGCAGCTTATAAGCTTTTTTGTACGTATCAATCTTTACAAAATGCGTTTTTTAAGTTGATGCCAAGATTCAATTTTTATTTATGTATCTGTGTAAGATACTTTTTATTTTTCTGGAAGCTGAGATGGATTTGCTCATAATATTGCCTGTAGGAATTTGGTGTAACACTATTTGTGTCCCCTCTGTTAACACTATGTACCGAAGGGTTCATTAATGCCAGATAGCTGCCAGACTCTGTAGCTACGCAACAAAACTCATCACAGTTTGCTCTGTTCAGATTTGCCTTACCAGAGTATGGCAATGTTTTATTCTGAACGTGAGTGTGTTTGTTTTGTGTGTATTGTATGTACAGTTGACTTGTGGTAAACACATTTACTGAACATCGCTGACGCTGAAGTTTAGGTTTGGAATTAGACAAATCTTTTTACGCCGTAAAAGTTCAGAAAAGGATTTGTCTTTCCTTTTATGTTGTGATTTTATTTTACCAAATGTATGTTGAGGCAGTCAAACTGAAAAGAACGTTTCTGGTTTAAGTTGTTTCTGTGAGAGACCCAACTTTCTTTTGGAAGATTAGATTTGTATTAGATTGCACAAAGTTTAGATTGTGTGGTAGTTCTCAAAGGCCTGTTTCTTACCCACAGTCCCTTGCAGTTTCCTGAAGAGCTGAAGTGTGTGTGTGTGTGTGTGTGTGTGTGTGTGTGTGTGTGTGTGTGTGTGTGTGTGTGTGTGTGTGTGTGTGTGTGTGTGTGTGTGTGTGTGTGTGTGTGTGTGTGTGTGTGTGTGTGTGTGTTTGTTTGTTTGTTTGTTTGTTTGCAGGCACTATCATAATCCCCTGTGTTTAGAAGTTCCTCTGCAGTCACGCTTAAAAAGAAATACTGCAAAACATAGTTATTTGCATGTAATCTTCTTGACATGGAAAGTTCATTTAATATTTAATATTACAGATTTACAACTCAAGTTCAAACTCCAGTTACAAAGTAGGGGACCTGACTTGTGTCATGCTGCTGTTTTCTCAAATGGACATTTCCTTTACCGTTCTCCACCAGTGTACATTCAATGTATTTTTTTAGCCCCATTCTGGGTAAAGGTTCTCAAATGTCAAATTCAAAGAGGGATACATTAATCAGTTAATTGTTGAACATTAGGTTTCTTTTACAAACTAAGTTTTCCTGGGGGCATACGATATACTCTGAATTCTGTAGTATGGACTTTTTACTTGTGTGCATTTCACTGCAGCGCACAAACACGTGATGTACATATTGACCTAATGCATTCTTATAATGAATCTAGCTGGTGGTTTGTGCCATTATTGTACCATGGGACTGCCTCCTGAGAGACTTTTCTATCTATACATTCCAAGTGGATGCCTTGACTCTAGCCTTCTGTTACAGACTGAGGGAGACAGTTTTTGCAGTGCTTGTAAAGCGGTCTCCATTGTTGTGTTCTGTGAGAACGAGTTCACGGCCAGGATAATTACATGGAGGCAGCAGGCTACCTACTGTGTGGGAAACCCTTTCTGGTGGGCTCCATGTGACGGCTGGAGATTGAGCTCCATGTTTGTTTGGCCCTAAGGCCGCATTTTGTAAATAATTAAACGCCTTACAACATTTCAACACATTTTATAGGACAAAAGGAAACAGGTAGATTTCCAGAACAAGACAATCCATGCATTTTTTCACATCAAAAATACTCTCAGGCCTTTTGTGTAGGGACATATCCTCCAGTGTCTTTTATGTATTGGCACAGTTCCTCGGCCTATAATCACTTCCTAAATCACAACCTTAATTTCTGCGTATGTAAACGCACAACTATTTTAAATATGAAGGACACTATATTATTTAAGACTCTCGTTGACTTTTACACTAAAGAAATGAATAAAGCTGCTCCTCTTGTGTAATTTTTGACTACCTGAAAGAAACAAAGACCTTGGACAGGGTAAAGAAACATTGTTGATTATATATATTTAACATCGACTCCTTAGCTGTTTATTGTTTTCATTGAGCTTAAAATAATTACACATATAATAAGGTGAATGCAAGAAGGCAGCGAGGAAGTGTTTGGCAACATTGCTTCTTTTTTTGTCCGTCTTTTCAGAATTTCACCTCATTTATATCTCGGCACATCAAGTGAACATGCTGATTAAACATTCTTGGGTGAATATTTAATAACTTCACTTGGTGTCGTTTAAAATAATATGGGAAGTTTTATTCTTGCCGGTGTTTGTATGAGTGAAAATAGTGTGAAGTGATACATGCCACCCATTTTAATTATTTTAGATTTACTACTGTGCATTAGCTTGCTAGCCCTCATCATTACTATCAGAATTTGATATTTTGTTGTAATGTGTTTGTTTCACCCTAGTCCCTAAGACGATTTGATCAGAAGGATATTGTGTGTTCAATGTCTCAAAGTGGTTTTTATTGTATGCCTTGTAAAAGTGATGGTGGGGTAAATGCTGTAAAATGTGTGTTTTGACAAGGTGGTCATTGAACAAATAGTCGTTGTAATTGGTTTTTGCACTGTTACATTAATATGCACTAACAAAAGAGAAACATACCTCATTTTATACAGAACATAAATTGTGCAAGAGTGCTATTGTCCTTTGGGTACTTAAAAAAAACGGAATCATGGCCAAAAGGATTAACTCAACATGGTAGCGGTTTCTTAAACCAGCTGAATAATATTAATTTGTAAAAATTTGAAAGGGCTGTTACATTCTTTTGGCTTGAAATGAAAGTACATTGGTCAAAACAACTAGTACCACTTTAGAGGAACTTGCTGCAGTTTGATATATTCAGGTTAGAGGTACACCTATACCAGACAACAGGATACCAGTACAAGGCCTGAGTACCAGCACAGAGCTCAAAGACGACGAGGGACATGTGAATTACAACACAAGACCGATGGGTTTCATTTGAATGGTCCAACAGAGGCAGTTTTTCTACAAAATACAGAAGAATATATGTAGACAACCCAGGTACTCGACTCAATCAGCAAAAAATGGTGTAGGTGCACCCCTAATTCAGGTAGTTATTCCAGGCCAGAGTCCATCTTTTAACTACACAACTTACTCAAATATGCTCACACCTTGACAAACAAAAAAGGGGAAAAGGCTGATTTCTAAAGCTTAAGTGTCATCTATGTAGCAAAAAGAAGGACATGTTCATTCTTGTTAGAGACACATGCAGAGTGCTGAACAATCTAAAAGGGAGCATTTCTTTAATGCAATATCAAACTCCCTGATTGTACTTTGTGGTGCATTTAGTGTGGACTTAAATACTAGAAAGAGTAACGTTTTATTAACTATCCCAAAAAATATAATTTCCACTGTATGGCCCACTGTTTATATTTCACATGAAACATTTTTCTGAATATGGGAGGTTACTCATTTGTGTTGATTTCAATGTTCATCTATTTACATAAATGACCAAATAATGTATGTAGCCTTTCACATCAGTCACATAATGTATATGGTGATATAATATATATATATATATATAACAAAATGCCTTATAGACGAGGGACATTCAACCCGATTAGAAGTACCACCAGGATAATAAAAGACTAAGATCATAAGTTGTTGTGTTGTCATTTGTAATGATAATAACAATCACTTTAAATGACCCTATTGATGACAATTCAACCTAATCACTTTGAGGATCAGATGAGCCTGATGACTAATGTATTTAAAAGGCAAGATGATTCCAAATCAAACAGAAAAGGCCTCTAATTTGTACTGTTTTTTCAATCTAGATTGTTTTGGTGGGAGTTGATGAGTGTTGGCAATATTGTCTTTAAAGTGTCTGGCCTATTTAGAATGTAATGAAATCATGTGGCATTAGGCTTGTGGTTTTAAAAGGGTTAAATACAAATCTGAAATCATAACCCGGCTACTCAAGATAATCCACAGGCCTTGTTGTGAGCACTTTCATGTAGGAACTATTTTCTTTCTACCAAACTACACCTATACTGTATCACTGCGCAGAAGGAAGCTGAAGCCAGTTTGTCTTTAAATCTGGAACATAACTGTGTGAACGAGACAGTGATGTTGAGTTACTCAAAAAAAAATGTTGACACTTTAACATCCCAGGAAACATCTAGTTCAATAATATTGAAGCAAAGGCAGATATATCTCTACGGTCTATATCACCAACACTTGTCTTACAACTAAAACATCTGAAATTATGAATAGCTAAAGGCAAGAGGAGAAATACTAACACTACATTCTCCCTGTGATTATGCACTTGATTGCTAACAATGGTGTGTGTGTGTGTGTGTGTGTGTGTGTGTGTGTGTGTGTGTGTGTGTGTGTGTGTGTGTGTGTGTGTGTGTGGGGGGGGGGGTCAATTAATCTGGTAATGGCTGAAGGGTACACAATAGCTGCACTTTAGTTCTTTAGTTCCGTTAGTACCAATAATGTCGCGTTCACACCGTCGGGACTACTCAGTGCCGGGAACTCTTTCGGCCATTTTCAGTCCCTGCTAGAGAGGTGGTACGAACCTAGTGATAAAAGAGTGCCAATTTATATTCTATTTCTATTGGGGCGTGGTTTGCAATTCGCCCAGCCAATAGAAATAGAATATAAATTGGCACTCTTTTATCACTAGGTTCGTACCACCTCTCTAGCAGGGACTGAAAATGGCCGAAAGAGTTCCCGGCACTGAGTANAGGTGTAGAAGTTTACCATCGTCTTTGGCAGGTTGAATTTCTTCAGCTGCCTCAGGAAGAACATCCTCTGCTGCACTTTTTTGATGAGGGAGCAGATGTTCTGCTCCCATTCGAGGTCCTGGGCGATGATGGTGCCCAGGAAGCGGAAAGACTCCACAGCGGTTACTGGGGAGTCACACAGAGTGGTATACAGGTGGTTTTCCCCACACCAGGTCACCAGATGGTCCATCTCCAACCTGTAGGCGGACTCGTCCCCACCAGAGATGAGTCCGATGAGGGTGGTGTCGTCTGAACTTCAGGAGCTTGACAGACTGGTGACTGGAGGTGCAGCTGTTGGTGTACAGGGAGAAGAGCAGAGGGGAAATGTTACATATAGTACAATTATTTTTCTCTGAATGATTTGTTGCTACCTGGTTTTTGGACAAACGTTTGAGTAAGACGATCAGTTTAAACGTGACAATACTTTTCATTACCATCCAAAGTTTGCAGCCCAGTCAATTTGATGACAGTCAGAGCTACTTATCTGGTTTATTGTGCTCTTTGATTGCCTTAAAACAGCATAAAGGATCAATGTGTTTGTTTAGTCCAGTGTGAAGGTCATAGATCTTGTAACCTAGGCAGCAGATGGCAACTTGGATAGACGTCTATAACTCGTCACACATCATATTGCAGTTGTATTGCTCCATAAATGTCGTGTGTGTGTGTGTGTGTGTGTGTGTGTGTGTGTGTGTGTGTGTGTGTGTGTGTGTGTGTGTACAGAGGGATGTTTNTATTGGCTGGGCGAATTGCAAACCACGCCCCGTTAGACTCAGAATTTTTTTTTGTTAGGCAGTCATTTTTTTCCTCGCTACAAAACCACATCCACACCT